GAGAGCGCGTCTTGCTTCCCCGGCCCCACCTGCGCAGGCGGATGGGCAATCTCGTTGCAGACAGCGTAGCTCTGACTAGTGTTGGCCAGGGTTTCTAGCCTCGGCATCATCAACGTGGATGAAAACAGGGGTTCTATGGGAAGGAAAGACATGACTGCATTTTAATGCCATTTTTTATGTATTTGTTTTTAAATTACAAATGGTAAAAAGCAAAGCAAAACCAGCGCTATCTTAGACTACAGGTGCATTTGCACTTCTGTATTTGCTTAACTGCTCTCCTGGGCGGACGCTAGATTTCTGGAGAGCGGCAAGACAGCCAGCCACCTCGCCCCTCCACGGCGTGTGCTGAACGTGACAGCCACAGTTAAGTAAGAACTGACGGTTTTCGTTTGTACAGTCAAAACTACCACTATCTTACAGGAAGAAACCCTCAAGAGAGAATTAAAATTCTAAGCAAAGAGGAGGGAAGGCCAGGAACTGAGTGAAAAACGTCCTTCCCCGCAGCTAGCGGGCACTCCTTGTTTCAAACCACTGCCAGATTGGGACGTACACGCAAAAACCTACCGTTCTTAATCAGCTTCCCTTCAGGAGTGACAGTGGAGAACGGAGCTACTTTGGGCCTCTCTGTCGCATTTGATCCTGCAATGGAAGAAAGCACGAGTCCACACCGGATGTTTGCTTTTATATGAAATAACTCCCCCCCCCTCAATCTATGTTCACTCAAACAAGAAAAAAACCCTAAATCTTTTCCTTACCGCAGTCCTGTATGAGCTTTTGCCAAGCCAATGTCGATCTTTGCCGTTTCGCTTTGTTGCCATATGGATCTACAGAGAAAGGAGTAGAAGGAAAAAGCGTTAAGCTTTGATAGAATTAGGGGCCACTAGCAGAAGTTTTAGAAAGTTCCTTTACTAATTGTAGTAAAATATATTTAAAGAAAAATATTTCAGGTGTGACGGCACTAACCGAGATAATGCTATTAACAGCAATGCTTGGTATTTTCACTGAAAGAGGGAGCAAACCGAACTACCGTTCCTTTTAAAAACCAAAAGTCTACTTGGTAGAAGCAGCAGTGTTGTGGAATTTACTAATTAAGCTCCTGTTTAGTATCAACACGAGTTCTGCACCCATAATGGCTTTTAAGAAACTCAACTAATTGGAACCGTACCCTTTTCATCTGGCAGGTATCTGAAATCCATAGGTTCACTGACTTCCTGGTCTGAAGGTCTTCGCAACTGCATCTTCACCGTGACGGGCTCGGTGATGTCTTTGAGGAAGGGCGGCGTTCTGAACACAATCGCAACTTGACGGTGAACATCAGCTTGTGAGAAGGAACCTTTGGCCTCCCAGTTGTCCAAGACAAATCTGACTTCTATATCATCTAGTCCGTTAGAAACAGAAGATGCTTGTTAGGCTGAAAACTTGCAGCAGGAAAAAGGGGGAAGGGGAACAAAGGACTCTGACTCAGAATTCAGATGCAAAGTAAACGGCTGGACTTTAAAGGCACCGAGGATCTTTCAGAGCCCTTGAACCCAAAGGTTATTCTGCCCAGCTATAAAACCAGACCACTTACACAGGACTGCAGTGAAGGGCTTCAGTTCCCCAGCTAGAAAGTGGCAGCGTCAGCTGTTTGGAACAAAGGCGGGGGGGGGAAAAACCAAACCAAAACTAGTCAAGATTACCTTTCTGAACTTTGTCACACAGCAGAAATATTTCATCTCCTCCTTTTACGCTTCCACAGTTCTTGTTCACACGACAGATTCTTAATTCTGCTGTGTTGGGAGCTCCTGGAAACAAACAGGCAAATTTGGTGATAAAGAATTACTGTAACTTTGTCACTTCTGAAGATGAGGTGCTGAGTTCAGGCGTACGAAGGGAAGGCAACAGCCGGAGGAGGGTGACGCACTGAACAAGTGCGGAAACTCAGAAGCAGGGCTTCATGTTCCATGATGCTACAGCTCTCAGCTGCTCTTCTCCAAACACAAGACACCGGTGCAGCTGTGCTGCTTACTCCCTAACTGTTCTAGAGTAGTCTCAAAATACTTCCCCGAATGACGTTACTGTGCTCAGTGCCGCCGCCCTTCGAGCTGTAGAATTCAAAACAGTTCTTCGAGGGACTCATGACCTGTTACAGTCATGCTTCTCTGGAAAAAGCTGGGCTAGCAAGTCAAGAAAATTCCCCTCTCTGAGTATCAGACGTGCTTGGCCATCAAACCTCTCCTCTGTTACCCGCTCTAGGTGTTTGAGAACAGGTCTAGGAGTCTTAACTTTCACGCCTTTACTTAGGGTAGCAGATTTCACCCCAAAATGCTCAAATTTCAACTCTGAGCTGTGGCTGTACATGCACAGCACTCATGACAGTTGTGGATGGAGAGCTGTCACGTGCACAGTCTCTGGTAGCGTTGTATATCGCAATAAATTAACCGCGAGCCGAGTTTGCGCACTGCACCCAAACAACCTGATGGCCACGGGGGGACTCGCGCGGGACAGAGACAAGCAGTGCCCGACGGCGTCTGGCCCTGTTCAGCAGCAGCTTTCCTGCTGGGTAAATATGGACAGGAGACTTCTGCAAGAAAGAACAGCCCCCTTGGAGCGTTGCGGGCCGTGTTACAATTTATTTAACAGGGCACTAATGCCACAATACAGTGATTCAGAAGTAACAAAGAACAAACAAACAAGGCCTGAATGGAAGAACTCTGCCTAGAATTTCAAGTTCACCCCGTGCCTATATGCCATGCTGACGCTTTAAGTACACGAGCACGTACCAATTTTAAACCCCGTCTTTGTGTAAGGTACGAGGTAACCGATGCTCCTTTTTCTGCTGCTGTCTGTGACCACGTTCATAGCTCACTGCACCTCTTCCAGCCCTCCACTCCCAACAGAACTCAGCTACGCTGTGCCCTGAGGTCCTCTCATCTTTTTATGGTAAGACATCAACTCCGAGTGTATTTAGAACACCTGGGAGGAACCGGCTGGCGCCGCTTTGCAACCCAGAAACCCATCCTCCTATTGCCACAGCAACGTGAGGCTCCCCCGCCCCGGGCTCCCTGTTCCAGGCACAGAGATGAAATACAAAACCAAAGCTCATGCTGTCACCTTAAAAAAAAAATAATAAAAAAAATTTACTTTAGATTCTCAGTTTGAGTCAATTCCTGCCCGATCTTTCACGGTACTGCACAGGTACACTGTAGCACAACGCAGACTACGCTTAAAACAGCTCCTGGGAACATCAGACCCCAATTACGTAGTTACTATCTGTGGCTATTACTATTATTATTATTATCAGGAGAAGCAGGTGCTACAGCCTCATTTACTACATGGCACATGCCACTTCGTTTGCTGAATGAATCAGAAACTTTGAAGGGAGGGGAAACAAAACAAACCCAAAACCAGCACAGGATCATATGATTGACGGTGTCATTGTACGTTTTTCACAGGAAGGGTAAAATTAAGAACTGCAAGGAGAAGCCTAATTTTACCTTTGTTTCACTTCTGTATGCTCGAATGGCACTCTGTGTCCTCTAAACAAGTTTTTCGGAAGGTGTCCTTTTTTGGCTTTTGTTTTAAGGGGAGTTTAGAAGGGAGGATAAAGGAAAGAAACACAAACTTGGATGTGCCGCGCTCTGCTGTCAGCCCTGGTGCCAGGCAAGGATGCCAAGTTTGGCGGCAGCCTCAGAAGGAGACATTCCCGTGGCCTCTCCCGTGCCGTGCTGCATCCCATCTCTTCCCATCTGTGAACCCCCTCGCCTCCACTCCTGCCCGATTCCCGTGCCTCGCTCCCCAAAAGCGCGGCCCTGGTTACAAACACCCAGAAAAATGAGCTTCTCGCCAAAAAACAAGGGCGGAACACCGTGTTCTCCCTAGCCTCGTTTCTCAGAAAGGGTAAGCTGCTTTATCTGACTCTTCCCGAGAGTTTTTGGTGCCGTGAGGTACGCAACTTGGGAAATTTCAGTTCAAAACCAGTTAACGTTGTAAGCAACTGAAAACAGAAGCTGCCCATAATACTGAATTTTATTAACTTGCAGTCTCTGCTAATGCGATCGCCTCTGTATTATGTTCATATTATTCTTATGTGTATCTACTATCCAAAGCAGGTGGACACTACAAAGCATTAGAAAGTGAAGAAGCTGCTAGATTTAAAACGTGCAAACTGATTTTCAGAAAAGCTCTAAGTACCTTTTTGCTCCTGATCTGAACAGATCTGTGAAAGCTTAAATTCTAACAACCCGGGATTTGTACCGTACAATTTTATCTTTTATCTAAAGTTATAACCTGACCTTACCCAGTTCTGTATGACAGAACAGGTTTAAAAAGGCTAACATTTCAAAAAGAAATTCAGGTCTGAAACTGCTGTTCCAGACAAAAGCAGCATAATTTTTATGATTTGTGGTTGCAGTTATGAACTGTTTTATTTACACCGCTGCTACGCTACGTGGAGGATTTTAGATACCTATAGTATATCAGAAGCTGTCCACAGACACCCACACTGAAAACCCAAGCTTCCCCCACCACACGGCTATCTGTCACTTCAGCAGCTTAGCAAAGACTGACGTCAATCAAGGAGTAATCATGATTTGGCATATTTCTAAATGGCATCTGAGACATACGTGCAAGATTTGCAGCTCAATTTTTATCTCAACCCTAATTACTCAAGTACTACGAGGGTTCTCAATAACACAATGCACACAGCTCCAACTTCTAGATAATTCTAGAAGAGACTCTAAAAAAAAATATCAGAAACACCCGGAGTTCATAGTCAACATTTTCGCAGTGGTTATGCCCACATCGACACAATTCTAACATCAACTTTATAAAATGCAGACCTCATTTTATTCAGTAGTTTCTGCTAAAGTAGCGTCCCTTGACCTTAAATACTGAGCACGGAAATACTTCCACTGCAGAAATAAAAACTACTGCCAAAAAGTTTCTAATTATTAAAAGCTCTTCTGCTATTCTTCTCCAGGAGAGAAGTCCAGCACGTGCTGAGGGCTACAATCCTTAAGTGCAGTGACCTGCCCAAGCCATACCGAAGTCCGGTTTTGTGGAATGTGGAAAACGGTGCCAGGAAGGGGCGTTTCACGTACTTCTGCACCCTCCCAGAGCAGGATCAAACATTCCCCCGTTACCTGCCTATACACTGAAAATAGCAGCTGGCCGGGATACAAAAGGGATGTATAAAAGTGTTAAGACAGTCTCCCACTGGGATAAATCTCTCGAGTCCTGTTCCAGAGCCCTCACAAGGCAAAGGCAAGACTCCTCCCGGGTACAAACAGGCTTGAGAGGACATCCCTGGAAACCAGATCAGCCTCACGGCTGCCATCCCTCTCGCTACTGTTTATTTTCATCGCCTGGCACGTCAGGAGCAGGCCTTTCCTTGCAGTCATTGCTGGGATATGCGAACAAGGGCTGAAAAAGCCCCGGTGCGTGAGTCCATGGATGCAACAGACAATTCTTACTCTGGTCAGCCAGCACTTCACCCTGGGATCGTCTTTTGAGTATATGCTCACCGACTTGCTGTGTGTTAGACAGGCATCGAGCAGTCCCAAGCCACAGAAGAGACCCAGAATACTGGCACAGGTCTCAAACTGGGCTGGCATTTTTCATCCCAAGCAAAAAGAGAAAAATAAAAGGGGCTGGGTGGGTGGGGAAGCACATTAGACTGAGTTGGTACTTACTGTTGTCATAGATGGGGTTGGAAATCAAAGGAGGAAGAGCTAACGTGTAGTTGCCGTGCTCGTCGGGGAGGAAAGCTTGGAAGCAGAGGCGGACGACATTGAGATCGTACTCATCGATGTTGTGCAGCTGTTCTTCAGGCACTGAACAGCAGAAGGAAAGACAAAACTGAGGATTAGTCATCAAAACCAGCAGTGATTCTTTAACAAACTGGGGAAGAGTGTTCACCAGTAAAAGAGATGGTGTTGCCGAGGCAGACGGAACGTGCCCATAATCCCTGCTAACTTTGCAGGGGCTGCATGAATAAATTCCTTGTGCACAATAAACGATACAGAAGCCTTTAACACTTCCCCTTCATCAAACGAGGGTAAACCATCCCAGTTCTCCAGCCGTTTCTTGCATCTCGTGTCCTCACCTTGCCTTCCAGACCAGTTTCACGTATCTATAGTTTACAAGTCATTCCCTGGACACGTTTCTCTCATTTGTTCAGGACAGAATTTACAAAACGAATGCTGCTGCTGAAGAGAAATCTTTCGATACAAGGAAGTCCTAGGACATAGCTGAAGATTTTCAGCAACAGCCAGAAACTTCTGCTACATGCTATCATTATTTTCCTCTAGAAACTGAGACGGAAAAAATAATCAGAAGACAGTTCTCGGGGCAAAAGTGAAGCCGAAACAACACAAACCATCTCCCCCCTCCCATCAACATCTGTGTCACTTCAGTACCCTTGACGATAGCAATCGGTGGTGTCATTATCCTATAATTTCATAGTATAACAAGCAAACGCTTGCTGGAAAAGCTGTTTCCTTACATATGCTTCCCAGTGTAAAACACAGTAACGCATAACCTAAGCTCAGCATTTCAGTCTCGTTCACTCTTTCACTTATTTCAATTCCAAGACACGGGACCCAGGCTATCGTGACTGAACGTCGCGTGTACTCCTAGCTAACGGGCGATTCGGGGAAAAGCAGCCCCCGCTGAATTCGATGCTTTCCTTTAAGGTCCGACATTAACTATTACGTTGACATTCAATGCTAGCAAAATGAGAAACTGATTTAAGTACTGGTAATTAAAATCATTTAAAGAGGCTCTCTTTTGTAAAATTGCTCAAAGCAGCAGTTCAGAATAGTTAGATACTCCTCGCAATTACCTCAAGGGAACGTGTGCCAAGGCAACGGATCACAACCTCTCAAGTTCACACCTTCCCCTGCCCTTTCACAGGCCTCTTGCAAGAATAAAAGATTAAACACGCCTGCGATAAGAAGCCTGGGGATCGCCCTGTACTGATTAGATTGCGCGCGCTGACCTTTAACATTTATCACTGGGTCGGTCTCCACTCTGCCACGAGTGGGATTTCTTCCTTTCACCTTTCGATAGTGTGAAATACTAAACCCGCTGAGCTCAGAATACTTTCCGCTGGCATTCTTAGTCTTTCTTATGCTCCGAGTAATTCGGTTTCTTCTGGTCTCTACTGTTAAAAGCAACCAAATCACTGTTCCATTTTAAAAGCCCACGATCTGCAATATGTCAAGACAAATACATCAGCGAGTACAAAACTAAGCAGCAACTACATACGTAACTTCAGAAACGCTGGTAGCCAGGGGAGTTCTGCCAGTCTGCGCTTTGCAGGTTGGTGGCCAACCACATTACCAGATACACAGCCAAGTTTTCTACTTTAAGGTACTTCATTAGCTGACCTGCTAACTTACTAAAATAGGATCTTTAGAAAACAGGTTTGGAGCATACAAACCCATACTCAGCGTCAGGAGTCACGCAGCCCCGCTGCCCCTTGATACAGCCTGGTTTAGAGAATAAATAAATTAAAAAGTGCTTCTCTAGATCGCACCTTGCGGAAGGGAACCATCAGGAGTGCAAAGCTACTTTGCTCCTAGCGGCTCAGGTGACTCTGACCCATGCTCTGACATCATGGCCAGCAGCCAATTAGCTCCCAAAGACACTCTGACATCACGGCTGACATTGGCATATCGTATTAACCATTGGCGGCCATGTGGATCTGGCCAGAGATCCCAAGCGATAGTCAAACATCAGACCTCTTAAAAATAAAATTGAGCATAGAGATTCAATACCTCTGGCTAAGTCAACTCACTGTAGACAGAAGCCAAGGACAAAATTTGGATCTGGCTTTGGATTCTGAATCAGAAGCGAGGACTTTGTGGTTGCACGGGTTAAAGCAGCACCAGCCCTGCGCCGTGTTTTCCACGGGCGCAGCAGCCTCTTCCTCAGAAAGAAATAGCACCAGGCTTAGAGATTAAGAGAACTCTATAAATGCAAAAATACACTAGATGCGGAGAAAAATGGGTAACGCTCGTGTTCAAATTACATCATTTCCTACACTACGAACTTACGCAAATTCCCAATTAATCTGTTTAAGCACCTGCCATAGGAAAGGAGTGGTGTGCCAATAATTGCAAGAAACAGAATTGCTGTATACAGCTCACCGTATTGCAGCAAAAAACCACTGCTCCTAATTTGCATGTTCTTATAAATGATTTAATACAATTAAAAAAATCTGTACGTTGAAAGAGGAAGTGCTCAGTCAAGACTGATTCCTCTTGGGCTATTTTTACCCAGATGAGAAGAACATAACAGAGCAAAAAAGGAGAACAAGACAGCTGCAACTCCATCTTGTGATGATGTGCTTAAAAAGAAAAAAAGAGGCTAGATTCCATCTTCGTACAAAGAAGCGTACAGCTTTCATCAGTTTCAAAACATATTTCATTTTCACCTAAAAGGCAATCATCCAAACAAAACAAAATGTTGTTATTTTTAACAAACATCTAATTCTGCTCCCTCTGAAGTCAATTTGAGAGTAGCCACTAACTTGAACGGATGCTGGCTTACACCTTGAGAATATTAAAAGCAAACAAAACCGAGGCAGACAAACACACTGACTAATGCCCGGAGTATGGCTGTACGGAGGATGGTCGTCTCACTCAGTGTTATTTCACCAACTTCGGTACCGAAGGACAACAAACAGGGTTAAACCTGACAAACCTGAAGTTATTAAAGTTAAGAAACGCTGTTAAAAAGATGTCTTTGGGAACAGAAAGGACTGGAGAAGAAGAGTAGCCGCTCCATCAACCTGTGCAAGCTCCACACAAGCAGCTCTACTGAAACCAGTGACATTATGCACGTGATGTAAAAAAAAGTTGCGCGATGTAGCATACTGGAAGCAGATACAGTAAAAAAAGGCTCAAACATGACACATGAATAAAAGGAAGTAATACTCTTTTTGGCAAGAGTTCAACTTCCTCTTCAGACTGCTTTTCGTTGTGCGGTACCACACCTTAACGTCTTCATATGAATCCAACCAAAAGAGCTGGAATCCAACCAACAATCTAGGTATGTTCCTGTGATGGCCCAATCTAATAAAATACTAGCCTTAACCCAGCAGAAATTCATTTTCCGTAGTTATCTATGCAAACAGGAGGATATCAAGGAACGTTTGTAAGCACAGCTCTTTTGCAAGGGGATGGAAAGCTTTCAAAAGTAACGCTTAGCAATTCAAACACATCGAAATTACAATACTATTTTAAAAAAGAATTAATATTCTAAGGTAAACATGAGGCTTGATGCCAAAAAAATCCATTAAAACACCGCCAACACAATGGAAAAAGAAAACTAACCCCAGTCACCAAGATTCTGGCATTAGGATTTAAAAACCCACTATCTAGAGTTACAGTCAAACCTAGGGAGTATTAGCTGTTCAGCCTGAACGGGACTACAATATCTAGTACATCCTTTCTTTATAAATCCATTTACAATGCTTCTGAAAGAAATGCAGATTCCCCAACTCAAAAAATAATTGCCTTTGAAATAATTCTCTAATCCATTATCTACTAACACGGGAAGAGATCGATATAGTCCCAGCATGGGCACAAAACCACCCCAAGCAGGCTAAACCATCAACTCCTTCCAACCTGAGCTAGCTCATCTGAGCAGCTCACGCCACACAGGCATTACGTTTGAGTTATCCCTGTCCCGGAGATTTGTGTCACCTAAGCCCAGAGATGCCCCGCTGGGCTTCTACTCAATGAGAGAACTTCTGGGATTTGCTCCGTAACGCAAACTTGGAGACTTTCTGGGTCTGACCCACCACCATGGTATTCCAACTTCGGGCACAAAATTAAAGATGCCAGTAAGATCAGGGCTCCTGTTTGTTCCCATTTATTTATCTCTAGTGGTTTGATTTTTTGTTTTTTGTTTTTTTTTTTACTATTTAATAGCCTTCAACATCCAGAAAGGGCAATAAAACACCATTTATCTGATGAAATTACTGGGGGATTATAAGATCTAATGTTTACTCATAAGGTGATGCTACAGGGAAAGTGAAAGTTTATTTTGAACACTGAAGAGAACTGATGCAGTGTTTGGTTTTTTGACTGATAACACGATACCTGATTAAATAGCAGATCCCTCACATACAGTCCTCCACCCAACTTCTAGACTAATGATGTCAGAAGCTTCTGGAGTGGGTGGGGTTGGAGGTACTTCAGCATCTAAACTTAACCTGCATGGAAACTTCCAGGGCAAATGATGTGGTATGACACACTCGGTGAGGGCTAACGCCGAGAATACCCAGTCTACCCTGCAAAGGGACATCTTGTGACCTTCCCTTCTCACCGAGGGGCTGCGGGCACCTATGAGCCACGCTAGACGTCAAAGAGAATGACCTCCCACAAACAAAAACACTTCACCAAGGAAGACTGCTCAGGAACACACATCATTAATAATCACGACGAGCTGTATTCTGCCTTTTTTCTTACGCAGACGATGGTTTTTAATTTAGGGATATGCTGGGAGCTCGGTTTCATTTCAGTGATGACACAGAGGTGGTTTGCCTCAAGGGTTTTGCTCCTGGAGTGCAAAGATTCCCCCTCGGCCCTGATACTGACCGATCAGTTTAACTCTGTCTACGCCAGAGGTTTTGCTGTAAAAGGCTGGCTCTGCCCAACCTTCATTTCTAACACCACTCTTAGGCTGGGACCAGCTCTCATGTGGTGAATCAGATCAAGGAACTGGTCTGGCTCAAAACTAACTTGCCAGAAGGAAAGAGGAGAAGGCTTGTTTTCAGTCGGTCGGTTCCCACGAACGCTAGCCTTGGCGCAAGGGAACTGTGGAAGCAGACGGACGCAGCGAAAGGAAGGACTGCCTCTTCCAGCGCTGGTACCGATTTATGCTACGTTCAACCAGTCAGGGAAATGGGGTGCAGGTCGCAGGTCCCTCTCAGCACCCAGGAGGTGCAGTTCAGATTTAATTTCCTCCCCCCCCCAGCTTATGTCCATGCTGCAGCCACGAGGAAGAGGTAAGTTTCAATCAATTTTGCAGAAAAAAAGAAAACTTTGCACACACCTATGAACAGAAAATGCATCAGCAACACTCAATTATTTCAAAAAAAGCAAGAAATCGAGGAGTTGATTAGTGTAAATAACTGTAAAAATTCAGCTGCTAACCTCCAGTCAATAAATGCCCAAACTACTACGGTTACATTTCCCTCATGCATCTTTCAGGCTGCTTCAAGCACATCATCCCTGTTTTACAGAAGGGAGCAGCGCAGGGAAGGTGAATGACCTGGCCTGATACAAAAGCCAAGGGATGAACTGGGAATACAAATTAAAAAGAAACTTTTGAAACTCGGGCCTTGCTTTGTCTAGACAATGATTCTCTGAATCTGGGTTCTTTTCCTGTTTTAAGTCCAATCTAAAAAAAAAGGTAAAAATGGAACAGATGTAAGCAAATATATCCAGCAGCCCCTGTATGTTTCTAAGACATTTTTAAGCAGTTTCTGTTTATAGTACAAAAAAAAGAAGTCAGCATTTTTCATGTCTCTACTTGGTAATTTTCCTCTTCATTTTTAAACAATTTGAAAAGGGGCTGTCCTTTAGGTTAAAATACAAAAATTCAGCATAAACAGCAAGAAGTATTTGCATAAGGAATGAAAAAACAAAGAGCTTTCCAAAGGTAACAGCTAAATTCGTGTTATGATCAGGACATTCGACTTTCCTCGAGTGGATTTGCTCTGTGCCTCTTAAGAAAACGACAACTCTCACTTACCAAGATTTTCAGCCTGAGAATTAGGCAGGGGGGGATTGCATATTTGTTTTAATTTAAGGACAGAACTTTAGAGTTTCTTTTAACACCTGAGGCATTCAGTACAAGGACTCTGATGCTTTCCACTTTCAAACCATTCCCAACTCCCAAATTCTTGCTAAGTCTTCTTTTGGTTCACAATATTTTGCTTATTTGCTCATACAATCAGCGGCCCAAGAAGCCCCCCCATAAAGCCAGGGGTGCCCTGCAGCAAACGGGCTGGAGAGGGGGGATCCTGGCGAACTTGGCCGACGTAGGCGAGCGGCGTCATAGGAGAGGGGGGGTCTTACGAGCGCAGGGGCCAGCAAGGGAAGCTGCGGAGAGGGTGACTGCGTGTATGGGCAGGAAGCGAGTGTGACTGGTGTGGGGACGAGCCGAGCGCAGTGCGGAGGCGTGCAGGGGGCGTCGTGGAGACTGTGACGAGTGCGAAGCCAACGCAGGGTCAGCTGCTCGCGGGCGGAAAGGGGAAACGGCAAAGGAAAGACTGCGGAGGCAAACGGAACCAAATTAGCTGTGGGGTAGGGGGGAGAGCCTAAAAATGAATTAAATGCTTATTAGCAACAGCAATTACAAAGGAAGAGGAATCTTAAGCATATGTCAAGTTCCAGGGAAAGCCTATTTATACCCTCTGGATCAACTGCCTGAACTATGGCAATTCTCTGGATTTCTCACTCTAAGACAAGCCTAGGGTTTTCATGCCATCATCCACTTGGCTAGAAAAAGGTCAGTCCTCTGTAATACTCTACTAGGTACAGTTTTCCCCTAAATTTAAAGAATACATTTAGGGCTTCTCCTCATTGATAATTAGCTTGAGTTGTTATTAACTCAATTGTTGTCTCTATGTCAGGTCACACCCACCCACAAAAGCTCTTAACTGAAGACTGGCTCTTCTTTTAATTTGAATTGGCTGTACATCAGACAGCACATGGCAAGACAAGGATATGGCACAACTCAACAGCTACTAAAAGAAAGCAGACATGGACCAGCTCTACTGGAGGAGTAACTCTGCTCCTTCGATGCTGCGCTATTTATATCGTCATCATGCCAAGGAGTCCTAGTTACACGTTAGGCTGCATTTTCCTGGCATGCTCAGGGATGAGAGACGAGAGATATTTCTAGAATTGTTTGGCTTATTAAAGGACAAAATTATACGGTGCGTACCTTGTGAACGCAACGGATCACGAACACATTCAGTGACAGCGTGGAAACAGCAATTTCTCAAACCAGGCTAACGCAAAAGGAGCAACCCGAGCGCAAGTCATCTGATCTGCATCCTATAGTGAATGCACACAATTTGCACAGCCTGTACTGAACTCAAAGGATGAATGCTGCCAGCTAAGAGAGGGAAATTCATAGCACGACAGCCTTGCAGGTACGCTTGCAGGATGACCCAGATGCAGATGGCTCCAGTGAGGCACACGGCGTGACATGCAAACATTGACTTATCATCATCCAGGAGTATGGAGGTAGACATCAGTTGCTTTAACAGTACAGGCAAAAGTGCTGGAAAAAATTATCTGAAAAACCCATGAATCTCAACCAAGCAACTTCCTACTGTTGTGGATTATGACCTTTATTCAGTGTGCATCCATACCATGTGCTGCAAGGCGTGGAGGAGGGATACCACCACCAGATAATTTGTGTTAGGGCTCACTCTCCCTTCGCCATCCCAGTTGCCTGTGGCGTCTGGGCTTCCCTAGAAGACGATGGGCCCTTTACACAAAGAAGTTTGGATCTGAACTTTGTGGACCCACGCCTTGCTATCACTTCATCCCTTACTGACAAGGCAAGTAATACGTACGCTGGCAGGCCGGAGGCATTTTGCATCTGTTCAGAGGGTCAGTACCAAAGCTCTGCCCCAAAAGGAGACTCAGGACAGGGACTGTTTGACTGTTCCAGAAGAAGGTGGGAAAGAAAAAACACACCAACACGCAAACGCCCTGAAGGCTGGTTTTCAGCTCCATGAAATTTCTTTTATGATATTCATACAATATTCACAACACTAACTTGTGACCTGCTTAGAGGACGCACCTAACTCCAAAATGTCTCTAAACAGAAAAGGTCAGATGCCTTTCTGAAGGCACTTAAACAAAACACAATGCAGGATAGATACAATACAGCCTGCGCAATCCTGGGGAATGTAGCAATACTCTTCTGACCTTAAAAAACCAAAATAAATCCATACATAAAACTTTCAATCTTATCAAGCAGCGAACATTATGGTGACTGCTGCTAATGAAACCCTGTTTTGATCAACTGAGTACACATATAAAAATATTTCTGTCACTAATCCTGTTTTATTAGGCCTTGGTCCTACGCCTGTCTGGGCTGTACTTAGCATGGGACTGCCCTGGAGCGGCCAGAGGCCATTCTCAAGGCAGCTCAGCTTTGTGCTGACATGCTAACAAGCGCCGAAAGGCAATTACGCAGGCTGGGGATTGCCAGCGGCCCCTTCTCAACACAACCCCAGCCGGGAGCAGGGTGCTGCCCTGTGTGTCACCCAAGCAAGGCTCTCCTCTGCTGCTGGACTGGTGGAAAGCAGCCCAGGATCTCACCTGATGCTACCAAGCGCAACCAGCTGTACTCACCCAAAAAATCATCAGCAAATTTGGAGTTACGTGCCAAGCACGGTAAAAATCTACTGTCAAATGATTTTAGTTAAACATGCCTTCAATACTGCTCTCAGCAGCGCCAGGAACAGAGCTAACTATGCAGTTGCTAAAGTTTCTTTGGTGACATACATGTACAAAAAGGGATTTTATCACGTTCTTTTACTGCACGACATCAAGAGAAAAATGTCAACTCATTTTTTATTTATGGACTAGAAGAAAGCTGAACAGAAGAGTTCCCCTTTTTTGTTTGAAATCAAGGTAAAGCTGGCTAAGTCAAGGTAACATAATTAACACACCTGAACTGTTTAAATTGTGCTGATGGACTACACTCATGTAAAAACAGATGCCCTTGTGTGCATACATTATCAGAACCAGGATAATCGTTTAGATGGACTATTAGCACTGTCAGCCTGACTCCAAACAGCTGTTCTAAAAATGAAGTGCTCTAAAACATTTCTCATTCTGTAGTAAGTTCCACATGCTTCTTTTTGTCCCAGTTCAGGACAAAAGCAAAGCATGTATTTTGAACCTACCCAGAAATCCAGCTCTTAACTCATTACGAAGGATCTTACCTGAATTTAGCAAGACTTCTGTGGGTATTTAAAAAAAAAAAAAAGCACAACAGTATTTGAAAAATCTCCAAGCTCTTGCCACACTTAAGCAAATACATAAGTGCATTCATAATAATGCTTATTTAACAGTTGGCAAGGGGGGGTGTTATGCTTTTCATCTAATTCCCCCCAGTTGTGCCTGCGTGCTGAAAGTGTTGGTCCCGCTCCAGTCAGCCCTGCAATTTGCTGTGTGTCCCCCACTCCCTTTGCATTGAGCTTTGCAATTACACAGCTGTGAGATGAATTGGTTTAGCAAGCCGATCTGAAAGGAAACCACTTTTTTTTTTTTTGCAAGTTGGTTTTCCATTGGAGCAACTTGCTGAGTCTGTTCACCGTGTAGCCACACGGCCTCTCTATCTGGTGTGAGGAAAGTGGTAGGAGTGTGTGAGCAGGGATGGAGGGAGGAGCAGGGTTGACAGCAGCCCACAGTTGAGTCAGATCAGCTGTCACATAAAACTACAGCCCGTGGGCAGGCCCTGACAAAAGTAAAGGCAGGACAAATAAAGCCCCACCACCCTGCAAAGTGACCCAGCTAAGTTCTACTCACCATTGAAAGGGTTAATCTTCTTCGAGATTCGTAAAGAAATTGATTCCTTCAGGTCTTTCTTCTTCACGCACTGAATGCCCAAATTCTGAAAACTGAAGCATACATGGCAGGATTTCAGCAACTAATAAAGTTTTCACTGTAGAATATTGAATAAATTATTTGATGTAGACTAGTGTGGTGGCATACAGTGCAAGAAATGAAAACAAAAAAGCTTATTTTGAGAAGGGCGTAAGAGATCAGAAAAGTGGGGATGCTGTTTCTTCTAAAATAAGAGCAGAAACAGAAGTGAAAAATACTAAAATAAAATTCTAAAGAATTTATGTTCTTTATTAAGAATATCTATTTCTATATTAAAAATTGTTACTCTGCAGTAAACCTACAGCAATTAAAAAATACTCAATTTTAAATTTAAAGTGACAATTATTTTTGTTATCAATAAACCTGCTGATTTGCATGAATTAAGGATTAGCCCTCCTGCTTTTATCAGGGAATGCAAGTTTCAAATACTCTTTTTAAAGGTTTTTCTGAAACAAGTCTAAACAGGTTTTTAAATCTCATGTAGTTATGGAAAAGTTCTGAAGAGCTGCAGCTCTTCCTTATTTGCATAAGAGTGCAGGTCACCCCGATGCAGGAGGTGGGGGGAGTCCCAGGCGAGCTGACTCCTTCCCACATGGAAAAACCATGACATCATCAAAGCTGAGTGGATGTAAAGCAGGAAGTAAAAAAAATAATAAAATAATCCGTGTTTCATGATGTTACAATAAGCTCAGAAGGTAGGTCGTGCCAGCAAGGCATCTTTCTCCAGAAGTAGAGCAATTTCCCTTCCTTTGAAACTCCACAAAAAAGTTCTTTGCTTTAGCTATGCCTAAAAAACCACCTTAATGCACCTAAAGGTACTCCTCCTTCCTCCCAATGCTCTCAAAAACAATTCTACATTTCCCCTCTCTGAACAATACCATGCCAGCATGATGTTAAGTTTAATTTCTTTAAACTCGCTTGCCTGCGCCCAACATGCTCTGTTCAGAGGTTCCCAAAACCTCTGCAACCAGGTTCCACTTCCAAAACCTTTACTCACTAGAGGAATGCATAAGCTTCCTTTCAAATCTGAACTTGATACAAATAGAGGAAAATAAAACCCAGTAGCATCTCATAACTCACTAAAGCACTTTGGCTTCTTATTGTAGCTACTGACATTCAAAAATTGTCCTGTACCTTGAAGAGCAATCCTATTTCTACCTTCTCTTATAGGTAGTACTTTTTTAGGGCTTGATCACAGCACAGATTACTTCCCCCCCTGCCCCCCCAAATACCCACTATATTCCACAGATTCAGTTTGAAGCACGCTTCCAGCCCATGAACCAGCCCAGTTCTGTATTATATCCCCAAATTGCCATCTGGCAGTCCCAGGCTCTCCAAGAACCGGCCTTGAACACAAGCTCTACCCAGCTACGCAAGGACTGACAGCCATTACTCCACGCCTTTCAACCATTGTGAAATAATTTATTCTCTCTCATGGAGAGAAAGTAGGGTTTTAAGCATCCCCTAATCCTCAGATTATAAATATTTTCTTAAACATGCGCTGTCACAGTGAAAGTGTCTGTTTAACGATCGTGAAACAGAGGGCCAGACCAGAGGAGAAACTGTTGAGAACCTCAGCAAGGCTGCGGGGTTTCACATCAACACTAGCTGACAGGAAGCAAGCAAGATAACGAGAGAGGGAGAAGTAGGAAGAAAGAGAGAAAAAAAGGAAAAACATTTAGAAAAAACTATGATATCATCCATGTAGAGAGATAGCAAACTAGGAAGTAAAAATCGGAGCATACAGGCAGTCAACACAAGCTCCAACATTCATACTTTTGCCTTGATGGTTTGGCCGGGGAGGGCTCTGATCAAGCTTAGGCAGCAGTACAGAGATCATTATACCACAGGCAGAACAAAACACTTTGTTCAACCGGAACTACATGGGGAACTTTAAAACAAGCAGAAAGCAGAGTAATTACTCAGACCAGCCCAAAATCTGGGATTAATAATTCCAGTTCTGAAGAAAAAAAAAATTGGATTTTTCCCCTGGGATGCTCAGCAAGAGTAACCAGCCAGAACCACTACCAAGAGAGGACATCTCCTGCTCACTAGTATTGCATGAGACTTTTTTCCAACATGGACTCGAAGAGAAGAATGTGAAGACTGAGTCACCAGCCACAAAAAGGAAAATTACTTTAAACATCCAGATCCAATTATGGATCATACTGTTCTTTCATCTTAAAGCAACCAATGATTTGTTAAAAAAAATTTTTAAAAAATGAGTGTACCGATGCTGGAAACATTTCAAAGAGAATGTTTCTAGCCTCCTCCCACCAGGATCTCCAATGCCAAGCTCAATTGAAGCTTACAGCTTTGCATTATCAGTAAAGTGGAAGTAGCCCACTTATTATTTTGTAAGAAACTGAGAGGCTTATAACCTAACACCACTGAGAAGAACTGATGGCTATAGCAAGCTAGCGCAAGTGCCTTAAATGAAATGGAGGCACAGCATTCTGTCAAAGAACAGGATTCGATGCACACACATAATGGAGGTGAAATTAAAATTTGCAAATAAATATTTGCAGAGTATCCCAGTGCTTTTTGGCATTACATCCCATAAGAGCCTCTCTACAGGCTTGCCTTGTGCTTACACACTTAACCTTGTGCAACCAAGAAGAAAAACAATCACTAGTGTCTTCCTGACAATCCTCTCCCTAGTGAGCGTACTACATAGCCAGAAAAGATGTTAAGCAATCGGGCGTTTTTGCTTCGGATCAGAAGGCAGAGAGCTGAGAGGAGGAAGTGGGATGGGCTAGAACGGCAGACATCCTTTGACCCTGGGTGAGGAAGCTTGAATTGAAAAGGCCAAAGGGAAGCTGGGGAATGGATGGTCAGAGGAAGGTGCAAGGTCCCTTAACAGTTTAAAATATTCGCAACTGCCTTTTAGACAAGGTGAAGGGGAACTCTATTTGCAGGGAAGCCAACGAGATTGAGGTTACAACAATCAAGATAGAAGGGAAGTGCCTGAAGGGACAGCCCTACCTTTCTAGGGAGGTATTACAACAGGGGGGTAAAAATATAGGAATTACACTTACTAACCCTTTTCTACCATTTGCCAATTCAGACAGCATTGTGAACAGAGCTAAAACCAATAAGCGAATAAAATTGTTAGCATCTGTAACAGCAAAAAACACAACACAGTCAATGTGCTACGTGCCACCTGAATACATTTGCAGCACATTCGTGATCACTTGAGCCTGCTGAAGAAGCACCTCCACTATTACAACTGTCTATTTCACCATCAGGCAGTCATCAGCATCATCAAACAGACTGTGTCTTCAGTCCTCTCCTTTAATAGTGTTCTACTGACTAAACCCACATAAACGTGGAGTAATTTCATTAACATCAACAGCATCACATCAGCCTACGAGCAGTGCGTAAGAGCTACTTATACACTGAAATATTTACCTTATTTTCTTCCCCAGTTAGGTTTACCCCAAAGCAATAGCCTACTTCCAAATTTACTACATCACAAACTGTGAACCACAGCTTGTCAATTCTAAATTCCCATCTCTGGCAATAATCACTTGACATTTGCTGCAGTTTACTCTGCTTTTACTTTATTATGTAAGACTTGGTAAACTTACAGGAAATGCCGTCAAATACAAGCGTATTTTAGATTTTCCTAATATCCCTCTGAAAAGCACTGAGAAACACATCTCACACACAGCCTGAATTTTCCTTACTGCATCCACAAGTAGATCCTTCCCCTGCACACTTGCTCTACAGAGCTGGGCCTGAGCAGAATCTAGGTTTTCACTCAGAAAAACCCCAACCCAAAACAAACAGCAACAACAGTGACAGCCACTAACATGTTTCTAGATATGTCACAACCATTATCATCTAAATGACATGATACTCAACCAGTACAAACTTTCTCCACCAGAAAGTCCGAATATGATTCCCAAGGAAGACGTGAACTTCCCTAAATCTCTTCTCACCGTGAAGTACTAATTCTAATGTTGTTGTTACCCATTCTATTACTCAACATTTTTACATGTAGGAGAGAGTCACACTCAAGTGTAAGAAGCATTACTGAACAAGCAAACAAGTGGGAGAAAGGAAAAGGAGACAAGACATTGGGAGAATGAACAAAGGAAAGAAAAGTGATAGGAAAAGAATAGGACCAAAGAGGAGCGTGTGAAGTATTGAAAAAGAAGAAAATACTTCAAACAGAAGTTGCCCTCCCTCTAAGATGGATTAGTAAACCTCAAAGACAGCATACTAATTGCCCTTTTAGTCACTACTCAAGAGTTTTAAAAAACATTAGATTAACAAATCACTTGCATAAGTAATCGAAATCCCAAGCAACACCATTACTCACGACAGGACTCGCCGTTCTGGACCAAACTCTGCTTCATAGTAGCCATCCCTGCAGTCTTTTCCAACCAGATCATGAGGGTGTGGCTTGTAGGGTTCACTCTTCGTTACCAACGTAGTTCTTATTTTGACTTTTCCAAAATAATTCAGAATCTACAAGAAGTGTGAGAATTTTTTTCTAGATTTTAGGTACTGGGGTAGTAAAGTCCCCGTGTGTAACAGAAAATACATGTTATCCTAAAATACTCTGGAAGAAACACCACAGCTAAGCAAATGGCATTATTGGTTTATAAAAGCCAGGACCATTCAGAAGTTTTGTTCATTCCATTTCACTTCTGCTCATTTTACACTAAAAAGACCCAAGTGCTATTTTTTTTTTCCAAAAAATCTCTCATCTATTTCAGAAAGCAAAACAACATATTTCACCTGCTAGTTTTGCCAAAGCAGCTGGTTATTTGCAGTGATAGAATTTCACTAGTGCCAGTATTCAACATTCAATCCATTCAGTTCTCTTAAACTATCCTACTGCAACAATGGGAAGGAAGTCAAAGGATGTAAAAAAATTCTTTTGGGGGTTCCCCCCCCCTTTTTTTTTTTTGAGGCTGAAGATCTATTGCTTCACCGTCTTACCAGGACTCTTTATATGAGTTGAATTCATCCCTGTGCAAAAGGCCAGGGGTAATATAGAAGCTTAGACCTAAACCAGCTTGTAATGCTGTAAGACCAAACATAACAGGATGTGTTTCATTATCACATCTAAACTTACAATGAAAGATGCAAAATTCTACATAGATGACCACATACAAGTGCTTGTTGAAGGACAGGTTGAGCTCCAAAGATCTTCAGAAAAAAACTCCTAAAGCCTCATGGATAAGGATATTACCTGTGCATGGAACACTAAGTAGCGAAAGAGGATCTTAGCAGATACAGCATGACATAATCCTCTATGAAGTCTTTTTTTTTTTTTAATTAATTCTCAGATGAATATTCAGTCATATTCAAGAAGGGGGGCACTGAATTCTCAGGCTCCTGCTAGAACCTTCACAGTAGTCATCAGCCTAATTCAACACGTTTCTCAGCTGTATAAAGTCTTCCCTCATGCTGACGGCTACCAGTGAAGTCACCAAGGGTTGTGTGGGTGAGCGTAAAAAGAAAAAAAAAAAACAGTTTGCCCTAAATTGTTTGAAGCGTAACAACTTGAAAGCAAATACAAGACTTGCTCAGGCACACATTTGTGCAGAGGCGAGCTCTCCTCCTCCACTTCCCCTGCCCTATAACTGTTCTTCTCCTCCTTCAGCCCTTTCTTTCCTCATCCTGAGACTCCAATGATCCATCATGTATCCTTTTCTGCTGACACCTCAAACCTTCAACTTGACCTGTGCTCTTCTAGCTTCCATCATCTGTCAGCTTCCTCAGCCTCCATTTTGGCTCCTTTCTTGGCCTTCATACAACTGTTACTTTCTACCCTTCAAATACAACTTTCAGCATCCCTTCACCTCCTTCAACTATTACATCACTTCTCCCTCATTTCACACCCGTCCCTTGAACTTGAAGCCTGCTTTAGCCACTTTTGATTCTCCAGTTCCTCCTTGATGTTCTTCATCATAACCGCACCACGAAATTTAATCTCTTCCTGGCCTCTCTGTTCTCATCCTCATTGATGTTTCCATCTCTAGAGGGGACTCCCCTAGCAGCTAATCAGCACTAAAGCCTCCTACGGGCTTCAGGGAGGCAGGAATTCACCTAGAAATCACCTGCTATCAGTAACAATCAGCTCTGTCATCAACAGTTACCTTTTAAAAAAAAGGCCAAGTTTTGCTAGGATTGCACGGTCACCTACCATGTCCCATGTTCCCTTCGGGTTCTGGCTGGCCTTCATGTGCAGCACAGTCCAGGCTAAGAGGAATCAAGGGCTTATACTGCTGGTTCAGCTTGTGCCCTGACAGCCTTAGGCTGAGAGTCTGAAAGTATTTACTCTTGCCAGCAGCCTACATAGTTCCTTGTTCAATTGGTAGAGTGCTGAAAAAAACAGAGAGTCTGGCAAGATCTCTATTTCCTGCATTCCTTAACCAAATCTGGTCAAGGGGGAAACCTTCTTGTAATTCTGGCTTTAGGGCTAGACCAGCTTCCACAGTTGCTTTATGTCGTAGAGGCTCACTCTGCTGCTCGACACATGACTGCCAATACCATCTTTCTCAAACTTTCCTTCTTAAAGAACTTTTACATCTCAGCACAAAACACCTCTTATTTTTCAGCTTTCACGTCCTCTGTATCCGTTCTTTTTCTACGTGATTCCAGAGACTCCATCTTTGGCTCCACTGTTTTTTTTAATACTCGCACGCACCGCAAACACAGATACACAGCTTCTGTTCCTGGGCACTGTAATGTACTTCAAGATGGAAAGTACTCTTAACTTCCCATTTATATTTGAGTTTTCTCTTCTAATCTCATCTCTGAAAGATTTTCTCCAAATGGAAAGAGATCAAGGAAACACTAGCAACTTCAACTTCCAATAGAAGACCAGAAGTTCCTCTCCCCTACCCTACCCGTCTAGGGTCTCTGACACATTCCTGTGTCTGAGGAAACACTAGCAACTTCAACTTCCAATAGGAGACCAGAAGTTCCTCTCCCCTACCCTATCCGTCTAGGGTCTCTGACACATTCCTGTGTCTCACCTATGAAAGCTACTGCCAAAGTACTTCCATTCCACCTCCACTGTCTGTACCTTCGTCACCGCTTTGATCATAGCTGCTAGGGCTACTCTGAATCCCTTCATTCTGGATTTCCCAACCTACCATAATGCAACCACCCAACTTGTCTTCATTGCAGGTGCTCTGACCACATAATTCCCCTTTCTCAGCTCATTTTTAAATTCTGTATCCCCTTCTGACTTCACAGACTTCATGGTAGTTTCTTTTGCAGAGTCTAATCACCAAATCACTGGCTACAAGTCACTTTCTTACTTTGCTCCCTTGCACAAAGCGCCTTCTTTCATGTTGCGCCCAGCAGCTTTTCAAAGCCTTTTCAAATTTTGTACGCAAACTCCTTCAAAGCTCTCCCAAAATTCATACCGCAGTCCAAATAGTAAAAACAAACCCAAGTCACATAACTCAAAAACCAGAACAAACATGCATACAGAAAAAGCTAATCATAAACGGTTCCCAGACAATGAGTTAACTTCACCAAGTTCCCTCTCTACTGGCACTTTGTTAACTACCTCCATACCTTCTCCTCCTCCTGTAAGTGTGAAACAAAATCTTTAATGACTAGGAGCAAAGAACTCTTTTTCCACTCTGTTCCAACTACATTTGCATGCCAAGGAAAGAATAACAGAACATGAAATTAAAAGTATTTTATTTACTGCACCAAGTCCAACGCGTAGCTACAGCACAACGTTCGTGTGGGCAATAGTAATTCATGGATAAAAGCCATATTTACCTGTATGGAAGGGAACGTCTTATTGTTTTCGGTACTGTGTTCTCCTGGAATGCTGCCTGCCGATCTTCCCTCACATTTGTATCTGAAACGCATGCCCCTTTGCCTGGGTTGCTCAAATATTTCAATGTAGGGCTCAGGGCCACCTTCAAAACAAAACATTTTCAACGTTAGTACACAGTAGAACTTAACAAGCAGCAGAAGACGCAAGAATCAGAAAAATCTAGGCTCTGATATTACCATCTTTCCACTTCATTTGTCTTCTCAGACAATCTACTTTTCATGTACACACACACATTGAAGGTGGGGGGTAAGGGGAAACAACAGATTTTAAGTGAAGCCTCAGGTAGCAATGCCATCTAAGTAATGAGCAAAGGACACTCTCCCCTCTGTCTCACCTAGAACTTAGCTTCTGTCAGGTATTGACGAGTATGTGTCTGATGAAAGAGGATTTTATACAAGAGAAAACAAATCATTATTTTGTGGGAATGGTTGATATTTTTAATTATAATATACTTTCAGGAATGGTTGTCCTCTCAAAGCATAGGTACTGTCAGTACTATGTTCTCTTAAATGTCCTCTGAAAGTGAAGATGTTTCCTCAGAATTAATTGGTTTAGTTCCTATTATAAAGGAGCAGAAACTATGCAAATTATACAAAAAAAAGCCCCAACCAAAACCCTACTGGGTTGAATAGCATCACTGTGGGCTCAGAAAATACCTGATTGCTGGTATTGAATTCCACATTTTGAGCTGCCCACCTCCCACAGGGCCAGCTCCTAGTTGTAGTATCTCCCCAGACAACGAAACTTCAGTAAAAGCTATTGGGCAGTTGTCAAAAAAAAGTTTTCAGGAAACACGAGTGACAGACAAGAATAAGAGACAACAGAACTCTTAAAGGGGACGAGGGTTAGAAAGACATTAACTTCGTAATAGTGTAGGTACTTTTCAAGTGATGTTTTATTGCCAGACAGTAACAAACTTTAATATATCTCACTGAGAACATCAAACAGGATAGTCAATCAAACCGTGACAACAGTGGGATGGCATGTGAAAAACAAATAACAGAGAGTAAGTAAATATTGCAGAAGTTGAATCATCATGGTGCTCCATGATCAGAACAACATAGCTTATGGAAATGTCTACTGAGCTCTCTGTCATCTTCAAATAATAGCATCCTACTCAAGCAAGGTTGGGCATCACAAACAAACATGACAGGCAACATCTTGTGGCACAGCACTGAAAAAAGTGCTTGGACTTCAACATAATAAGCAAAATAGTTATTAAATATATTGAAAGTGCTAAAAGGGTAAAAGATCCCCTACTTCCTTTTGCCCAAGGTCCATAGTGTATGAGTTTTGGCAGAGAGGTGGATTCCAATCTTAACTCCATAATAAAAGCTTCTCTTTCGTTGTACCTACAATGATTTAGGTACACCTGCCAACACAAAGCTTGAACTTCATGCCTCGGATTTGTTGATCACAAAACATTTGCAGTGCTGCAGCAGTTCATACTCAAGTAGGAAAATATTATACCTAAAAGGTAAAGTAATTAAGAGAAGTAGAGAAGGGATGGAAAGAACTGCATCTCTGAGACGGTCTTAGCTGAATGCACATTTCAGCTGTAACACAGCTACAGCCAACTGTGGAATGGCAGTATGAGAAAGCAGCTCTGATGCTGGAATTGTCTTCAACAACCTGTGCCTTTTCAAAACCTAAATGCCTTTTAAAAAGGCACAATGCATTTCAACTCCAGGCTGTATTCAGTGCTAAACATTTGAGAACTATAGTTTAGGACTCTTTCTCTATTCCTTTCCAACAATTTATCAAAATGCAGTATCTAAACTGATCGCCTCCCATCAAGTAGATTTTAATACACAGTTTCTGAAAACAGACCATGAGCTGTCACATTATATACAGGAGCCACTGCTCTAGGTCCAGTTACTTACAAGAACGGTCCCTTCTCTAGATCCTCCCTGGATCTTATCTAACCCTCCTTTAGATAAGCTTTGTTTATTTTCCTGAAAATGTACAAGTCCAGCAAAGGGTGGGGGGACAAGCATGATAACAAAAAAGCCTAGCAATTACATAAAGCTGGTTTCAAATAGAGACCAGAAGTCTGAGCTTCTCACAAAACCAAGCTCACACACCAATGTATGGCTGTTTAAATTTCACACTTTAAATTTACTTATGCTATTGTGTTTATCAGCCCAGTCCAGCGGACCAGATGACAGAGGACTTCTGCCAGCAGTGAGGAGCGACTGCTGCCTATCAGTCAGCCTCCTGTTTCCATCATGCAATTGAGGAGAGAGAAGAATCTCGCCTTTCCATTCCTACGTAACACAGTACGCCACAAATAAAGACACGTATCCATATACTAAATTAAAAATCTATTTTAGAAGTTATAATGACAAAATTGCAGCAAAGTATCTACTAATCATCTTACTTCGGAGATGCACATGCTTACGTAGCTGCTAACCAGACGCACGGTGCGCCCGCATACATTACGTGTTTGTCAAAACTAGCTAGAGCCTTGCTGTTCTGAAACTACTACAGAACACAATCACTTCAAGTCTAACTCTCCCTGCTTTAACCAATAATTTCCCTTCATGCTCTACTAATAGTCGCTTAAGAGGGCTTTTTTCTCACCTATTAAGAGCACTTTTATTTTAAAACTCTGGGCTCAGTGATCTTTACAGGGCTGTGGTTGAAACAAATGTCATTGAAGGCAAACCCACTGCTTAACAGCAGGTGTGTTTGTGGGAAAGTAAAGCTCAATGATGCTGTATAGCCTCCAGAGATTAAACATTAAACTTCATTTTATCTTGGTTCTCTCTCACTCTATTTAAGAATCACATTATCATCTCTACCACGATTGTCGGTGTCATCATGTTTTGCATGGAGAGGAAACACATAAAAGTGCATGTGCAAACTAAAGGTATTATCAGCACTCAGCAGCGAAGCGGAGGTCAGTTCAGTGTTCCCTATTTCTGTAAATTGGCAATGTGCTTGTGAAGCGGCACAGCCTATTTCACAATCTACGCTCACACACAGAGGTCTGTTAGTTCCCACACAGTTGCTAGAGACCTGTCCTCTTCAGGTATTGCTGTGTGTGTCAAACAAATAGAGCTATGTCAAAACCCACACTCTCTTTCGCTAAGTCTGGAAGAAAAATGCACAGCTACTCATGTTACCTCCCTGCCCACAACTAGTCCAAAAAGCATTTGACATGGAAGAAAAGCAAAAATCTAGCTAATCCTTCATTTAAGTGCTTAAGAGTTTAATTTGCATTTGTAATTAATTATAATTGCCTATACACATGCTAGCAATAGAAACATTATGCCACATATTACAACCTGCCTCTTGTTCTTTTTGGTATAAAATTGTTTATTCCCCCCCGTACCCTGGATACTACACTAAATAATTTAAGAGAAAATATAGAAGATCAATAAAAATAGGTAAAAGCTCTAACAGCTCCAAGAATTCAGCCAGCTTATATTCATTCAGGAACTGAAGGTTGTTTTATTCTCATCTGTTTTGAGCAGCAATACAAAAAAAGGAACAATAAGACAATCCCAAAAACTCAAAACAACACTTCCATCGGACCTCTCCATGATAAGAAACCTGGGCTGGTTTAAAGTTTAACAGGGACTGTGCCATTAGGGAGGAAGCCAAGCAAAGCAACAATGGGATCAAGGGTTCATATGATTTGTCTTGTTCCTTTGCTCAAAGGAAGCAGACTCCGGAGGGACTACACAATTTGTCATTTTCTTGCACAAGCAGGAGCGCCCTGTGAACAGGCTCTCCAGCAACATCTGCATGTGAAAGCAAAGTGGCTGCGGGTCTTTGAGGAAGATGTGAAAGTATCACCCGAAACTGTATGATCCGAGGTGACTACAGCGAGACTCAGATGGCAGAAGTGCTGCCCTTCAACTTTGATGTCACTGCTCCGTACAGATCACTGGTCACCCTATGCCCCCCACAGCAACCACCATTTCTGAAAAGCAAGAGCAGACGATCTATACACTTATAGCCTCCTGCAACACCTCGGGCAAAAGAGGCTGTGCTGGAAGATTTGCACATTCTAAAGTAATCAAAAGCCTAAACACACTTCTAGTTCAGAAAGCAGTAATCTACCTAGGACTCCATAAACTGTACAGATTCTAACAGAAAGACAAAATTACTCACGAACTTCCTCTTTACTATTGTGTTACATTACAAAACAGCAACCAAAAGAAAAAAAAACACACAACTACAAAAGCTAGCTAGTACCAGGAAGTTATGAACTTCCCCTGCTGAAAAATTCCTTATCTGGTTCCTAATTACACTGAAAATATATTAATACATTAAGGAAAAAAAAAAGTGCTATCCTGCTTCAGTTTTGCCAGTCTAAAATACAACCTAATATTCAAAGGATGCTTCCATACAAATTGTCTCTGTTGATACTTCACACACACATATATTTAAGAGGAGTGAAAGTTCATGCTTTGCTAAGTGGTAACTCAACACACACACACAGAGTTTTGAGGCTGGAGAGCATCTTTCCCTCGAAATGCTATTCTAATTAACACTGCCAGGTCTTAAGTTTTGGGGGTTTTTTAAACCCTAAGAAAGATACCAGAGAAGCGTCTTCTGAAAGGATGACAGTTTAATTTAGCCTAAAGAAACTTAATTGTGCTTTTTGTTGTAATTACTCAATACATGATCCCTTATCTACATTACTTTGCATTTATGCCATCTCTGTTTCTTACTCATTTGCATTCTCGTAGGCAAGTTCCTATGTGAACAAGAGCCTGTTGAGCATCACAAGAGTCTTTGGTCTATTGATGTCTCTAGCCCAGACAGGAGACCCATGTACTTATTTAACGCCCCAACATTTTAATGACACAACTTTAAGACTGAAAAGATCCGTTCTGAAACATAACAGCCTTCTAAGATCTTGTTGCAACTATTCCAAACAACCATATGAAGTTTCTTTGTTAACTTTTTCCATAAGCCTACTTAACAAACTACACAGATATGGATTTAACATCAAAAGCAGATGCTGGGATGATGGGGCAAGAGCACTGTCACCCCTTTCCACACTGTTACTCACCTACTTCTGACTGCCTACGGGCTTAAGTCAATAGGGAGA